CCTTGCTCAGAGGTGCAGAGCCAGCAGCTCAGTCAGTTCTGCTACCAGGAGGCCAAAGGACCCCGAGAGGTTTGCAACCAGTCTACCACCTTTGTTGTCAATGGCTGAAGCCAGAAAGGCACACAAAAGCTCAGATGCTGGACCTGGTGATCTTGGAGCAGTTCTGGCTGTCCTTCCCCTGGAGATGGAGAGCTGGGTGAGGGAATGCGGACCAGAGACCAGTTCCCAGGCAGTGGCCCTGGCCGAAGGTTTCCTCCTGAGTCAGGCAGAGGAGAGGAAGCAGGCAGAGCAGCAGGTGAGAGAGACTTTCCTCTGGATACTCCCAAGGGGCTCCAAAGAGGAGGGAGAGTATTCCCAAATCATTTCCTAATGGCCCATCCTTTTTTGGAAAGCATATTATTATTATTATTATTTATGACACCCATGTGGCTGGGTGCCTTCCAGCACATGTAAAAGCATAAGAAGACATCAGATGTCTTCTAAAAGTTATGCATTTTCTTATCTCCTTATCACCTGATGGGAGGGCATTCCCCAGGGTGGGTGCCACTGTGGAGAAGGTCTTCTGCCTGGTTCCCTGTAACTTCACTTGTCACAGTGAGGGAATCAGCAGAAGACCCTCGGAACTGGACCTCAGTTCATGGAGACGCTCCTGTGGGTATACTGGGCCTTTGAGGCCGTTTAGGGCTTTGAATTGTGCTGGGAAACGTTCTGGGAGCCAGTGAAGATCCTTGAGGACCAATGTTTCATGGTCCTGGCAGCCAACCCCAGACACCAGTCTAGCAGAAGCAGGAAGCAGCTTTCACCTCTGTCCCCCGAAAGCGCTTGCCTCCGCCATTCCTTCTCTAACCCTTCTCCCCATTCTCTGTTTTGAATCCTTGTTGCTCTTTCAGAGGAAGGATCTTTTGGCAGAAATGGGTCTTGATTCTTCTGAGGCAGAGAAGACTCCGCTGGACGCCAGAGTGAGGCCTCTGGGTAAGGAGGAAGGAGTGTTTTCTCCCCCGTTTTGTCACATTCTCTTGGTTTTGAAAACTAATCTCGGAGTTCTTTGCATCTTTTGGGGGAAGACACCTGGAGCCAGAGGCTCAGAGGGGGGGGGAGATGTATTTTTGCACAACTATTATATGAAATGGGTACAAATGTCCAAATGTACTCAGCAGGGGAGACGTTTACTGCAGCTGGTTCAATTCCGCAGTTTATGATCTCATCTCTTCCAGCAATGCCTGTACATTAGTCCAAATTGAGCTCTAATTGGCAGGAGAACCTCTGCTTCTTAATGGCAGCGAACAAGGGTTTTTGGCAGACGAAGGGCTTTTACACTCAGCGCCTCCCTGCCTCTCGCAATCCATGCCGGAGCCGGAGCCTGGTACCGAGACAAACTGGGAGTGAAGCCCATTCCCCCCGTCCCTGGGGGCAACTTGCAAGGAGAATTACCCTCAATCATCCTTGTTTTTCCTTTGCCAACGATCTCCCGCTGCCTCCATTAAGCAGAGCGGAACCGGAAGCTAGGCAGGGGAGACTTTGAACCAAGGCCCCATCTGTACTTACAGAGATGCACTATTTACAGTTTGCCCACTTACCTTTGTCTCTCTCCAGGTGACGGAATGATTGCCAACCAAGACGCTGCTCTTTCATCTTTTTCATGGTGGGTAGGAGGGGAGGCAGCAGCTGTGGACCACAGATCAAAGGTAGGGGGAAGGAGCTAACCTGTTTGGGGAGGACCTGTGGATGAGACTGGCTGGACACAGTTGGATGCAGAGGAATGGGTGGGAGGAGCCAGAGAAGAGGAGCCGAACTGGGAGGAGGAGGAGGGGGAGGGTCTGAAGCTGGAGAGGAAGAGGGCTCAGGGAGCAGAGGGAGTCTGTGGCAGAGAGCAGCCCAGACTCGAGCAGAAGCTGCAGCAGGAGAGAGGAGGGATGAGGAAGGCAGAGAGGGGTCTGGCGCTGTAGAAAACAACAGAGCCAGTGAATGTTCTCTAAGAGGACAGCCTTTTTCCTGTTCTGTTAGGGGTCCAGTGTGCTTTGAAGATGTAGTGTCCATTTCACAGACGAGGAGTGGGCGTTGCTGGATCCTGACCAGAGAGCTCTCCATAAGGAAGTCATGGAGGAGAATCGTGGGATCTTGGACTCTCTCGGTAAGGCTCCCTATTGGATCATCCTATCTGTTTTGTAATTCAAGACATCTCTCTATGTGACGAACCTCTGATATTTCGATGGGGCTCAACAGCGCCACCCACAGCACCTGGGATGTTAACACTCCCACAGCAAACCTTGGATGGATGGCTATTGATTGTTTTCCCTGTGAATATTGTTCCTCCAGTTCTGCCGTTTAAAACCACGATCAGGCTGTCTGAACTGCCCAGGCCTTCTTAAATGTAGGATTCAGAGTGATTTGAGGTGTTGAAGTAGCTTCAGTCAAGTTTCCTGCTTTTGTTCTTGGTTCTGTCTCTCTCTGGTTGACCAAAGAGTCGCTTGACCATTGGAGAGGCACAGATTCCACGACTGAACCAAACAACTCCATCCCAAAACAGAGCCAGGCTTTTGAATCTCAGGCAGTGAACCCTGTAGTAACAATAACGATAATATTATTATTTTTACCCTGCCCCATCTAACTGGGTGGCCCCAGCCACTCTGGGCAAGTTCCAACAAATAGAAAAAACATAATAAAGCATCAAACATTAAAAACTTTCCCAATACAGAGGTGCCTTCAGAAGTCCTCTAAAAGTTGCATAGTTATTTCTTTGACATCTGATGGGAGGGCGTTCCACAGGGTGGGTGCCCCTACCGAGAAGGCCCCCTGCCTCGTCTCCTGTAGCTTCTCACAATAATGTAACATTTAAGTACAGTGGTACTTCGGGTTAAGAACTTAATTCGTTCTGGAGGTCTGTTCTTAACCTTGAAACTGTTCTTAACCCAAAGCACCACTTTAGCTAATGGGCTCCTGCTGCCGCTGCGCTGCCAGAGCACAATTTCTCTTCTCATCCTGAAGCAAAGTTCTTAACCTGAGGTGCTATTTCTAGGTTAGCGGAGTCTGTAACCTGAAGCGTATGTAACCTGAGGTACCAGTGTAAGGAAACTTGAAATAATAATAAGTAATAATAATAATAATAATACTGATATGACAAGTTTCTGCTTCATTCTGTTGATGTCCGAGAATTTAAGAAAAACATCCAAATTGGTTTTAAGGTGATGCACCATCATCATTAAATTTTTAGCCACTAAAGAAATTTAAATTGGGCAGCTGCTACACACATTTGTTCAATATACAAAATGCGTTTTTCAGCACACAGAAGTTCATTCCCCTACCACAAGGTAGCTGACTATGACCAAGTCAGTCCAGAGTCAATGTTCCCAAATATTTCTCAAGGCCTTACAATTTGTTTAGATTTATTACTGCATATTTGAACAATCGTAGCATATTAAATACAGTTGTACCTCGGGTTAAGAACTTAATTCGTTCCGGAGGTCCTTTTCTTAACCTGAAAACTGTTTTTAACCTGAAGCACCACTTTAGCTAATGGGGTCTCCTGCTGTTGCTGCCTGCGCCGCCGGGAGCATGATTTTCTGTTCTTATCCTGAAGCAAAAGTTCTTAAACTGAAGCATTATTTCTGGGTTAGCAGAGTCTGTAACCTAAGCGTATGTAACCTGAAGCGTAGGTAACCCGAGGTAACCACTGTATATCTTAATTTTGAACAGGGAACTTTCCCGCTTTGGCCACGTTAAAATAATAATGAAAGCACATTTTATTTATGAAGATAGTACAGATCCATATTTAAGTTTGAAACAAATGACGTTACCAGGTTAAGCTGTATGTAATGGAATTGGGGTTGCTATGTGTGTAAACCACCAACTGCTCCAAGCTGCTTGGGGTGGTTGCACCTTTCCCTGGCTGAGCAGCCCTTAGGCGCGGCTACTTCAGTCGCTGGCAGAATCCGTCAGTGGCGTTTCTAACTTCTTCCAACATAAAAAATTCCTTGACGCCCAGTCTCCGCCTAGATTCTCTGCGCGGAAGCCTCTGCGCAGTGTGGGCGTGCCAACGGGGGTCCGGTGCTCTCCCCCCGCTGATCTCACTTGAAGAGTCCTCGGAGCCCTCCCTCCGAAGTGCTCTCAGCCTCCCCCTTTTCCTGGTGTCTCCTTGATTGCCTTCCCCAGCGGAAGCTCTCTCTCTCTCCTTGCTAGTCCCCTCCCCTGCATCATTGGGCGACCTCCCTCTCCTCTGGTCTCTGATGGCAAGTTCCCTGACATCCACCCTCCCTCCTAGGGCCCCCCTCCCCTCCCGTCCGTTCCTGGGACGGTGAAGTGGGGAACCCCCTGAAAGGAACTATTCTCCTCCTCAGATGATTCCAACACTGCTCTCCACCTGCTGTTGTCTCTTTCCGCTTCCCACTCTTCCCAGTCGGATTCCTCCCCTTCGGATCTTCCCCCTTCCTCCTCTTCGGAGGCGGGAAATCCCATAAACTCTTCCTCATCCTCCGTGTTGCCAAATTGCTGCTCCCAGAACCTCCCTAACGGCTTGGGCTTCCTTGGGAACCTGCGATGGAACTCCTCCTCCAGATACTCATCCCGGATCTCTCCCGCTGGAACCCAAGTGTTCTCTGATTCGGGCTCCCCCTCCCAAGCCACCAGATATTCCACCTGTCTCCCTCTCCACCTGGAATCAAGAATTTCAGCTGCATGACTACTGAGTTTCCCTTTCTTCCACCCGTGGATGCATGGGTGTTTCTCTCCTTGTCCCAGAAATTCCCTCCCTTCCCTATAACGTTGAGAGTAGGGGATCTGTGAAACACCGGGTGCAGTTTAATGTTGCTGGGCAATTTGAGTCTGAAAGCCACCAGGTTCACTTGTTGTGTTACCTCGAAAGGTCCCAATCGTCTTGGCCATAATTTCTTACAACCCCCTTTTGAACGGTAACCCTTGGGTAGACAATCACACCTGATCCCCACTCTTATAGTTTCCCCTTCTCTGCGGTGCTTGTCTGCCTGCCTCTTATACGCTTCCTTCGCCCTCTCCAGGTTAACCTTAAGTTGTTGGTGTAACGCTTCCATTTCTTCCACAAATTGTTCGGCCGCTGGCACACTCCCCTTCCCTCCCCCTCCCCCGGGAAAGCCCTGGAGTGACACTCATGATTGGCCATGAAGGGACTCATCCCCGTGGACACATGTTCCACGTTATTGTATGCAAATTCAGCCAGCGCTAGTTTTTCCACCCAATCGTTCTCCCTTTCGTTGACGTAGCAGCGTAGGTACTGTTGAAGTATGCTAGTTAGCTCTTTCTGCTTGTCCGTTGGTCTCTGGGTATCTGGCCCGTCGAGAAGCTCACCTCCACGTCTAACAGGCTCATGAGCCTCCTCCAGAATCTGGAAGTAAATTGCCGGCCTCTGTCGGACAAAATCCTCAAGGGGGCGCCATGCAACCTGAAGACATGATCTACAAACAGCCTCGCTGTTTCTTCTGCTGTTACTGCATGCGAGCACGCAATAAAATGGCACATTTTGGTCATCAAGTCAACTACCACCATGACGGCTGTTTTCCCCCTGGACTTGGGTAAATCGGTCATAAAATCGATTGATACCACTTCCCATGGTCTTTCTGGTGTGGGTAAGGGTTCCAGTAACCCCGCGGGTGCTGCCTCTCCCTTTAGCGCACTGGCAGCGCTCGCACCCCCGTACATACTCCCTCACATCTTCCCTTACCCTCGGCCACCAGAACTGCCTGATGACCAGCAACATGGTCTTGTGCTGGCCAAAATGTCCCGCCGTGGGGTTGTCATGAAGCTGTTTAAGTATTTTTCCCCGCAAGTCCTCTTCTGGTATGTACAACGCTCCTTATAGTACAAAACCCCCTCCTTGACCTCAAAACCTCCCTGATTTTCTTCTGTGTCTCGGATCTCCCTGATTTTGGTTTGGGCGTACTGGTCGTCCCTCGTCCGCCCGGCCAGCTCTTGTCTCCCTACCAACACTCCCCCACACACCCATTGGTTCTCAGGTATGACATGACGTGCTTCTGGCACTCCCTCTCCTTCCAAGTACTCTGGTTTGCGGGAAAGAGCGTCTGCTCTGACGTTTTCCTTCCCCGGCACGTACCTAATCTCAAAAAAAAACTTGGAAAACTCCTGTGCCCATCGCACCTGTCTTTGATTCAGGACTCGCACCGTCCTCCAATACTCAAGATTCTTATGGTCCGTGCACACCTGGATCTTGTGCTGTGCACCTATTAGAAAATGTCTCCAGCAGCGAAAAGCCTCATGTATAGCCAGCAGTTCCCGATCATACACCATGTAGTTTTTGTTCGGACTTGTTCAGCTTCCTCGAGAAAAAGGCGCACGGCTTCCACTCTCCACGATTTCCCAGCTGGAGTAATACGGCCCCCACCGCTCGGTCTGACGCATCTTTCTCCAGCCTCATCGGCTTCTGCAGATCCACGTGTAAGAGTTGCTCTTCCGAAGCGAACTCCCTCTTTAGCTCCTCAAAGGACTGCTGAGCCTCTGCTGTCCATTCAAACTTCTTCTTGCTGCTGAGGCAATCGGTAATGGGAGCTGTCAGGTGGGTGAAGTTCTTGATGAATTTCCTGTAGAAATTTCCAAACCCCAAGAACTTCTGCACGTCCTTCCG